TGCCTACTGGACAGATTGACAGGTCGAAAAAAAACGAGCGCTGGCAGCCTCAGCCACAGCGGTGTTCTGTGTTTGTATGTTGTTAATAAAAAAAAATAATAATAAAATAAATATATATATATATATATATATATATATATATATAAAAAACAGGAAGCGCTGGCTCTGCAGCCCACACATCAGACCAGCCCAACAGGAAATCTCCAGACCCTCTCGCAGCCATGATGGACCTGAGTTTAATTTGCTCGTGACAAATTCCTTCATTTCTCAAATTTCAGTCATGGCATCAACGGAGGAGGAAGAGATCACTGCCTCTTGGCAAAAAACAAACAAAAGAAAAGGCCAGATCAGGGATGAAGAAGGGGAATTTAATACACTGGTGTTGCATACAAAACAGTTTGTTGCCGGGCAGTTTATTGTGCGACACCGCATGTATGCGATTGTAAAAATTGAGCTTTGCATGACATGCCCTGCAAGGGTACGCTCATACCTCCGCGTACGTACGTGTGTATCTCCGCGTATGGACGTACGCGGGAGTATACTGGGGGGCTTGAGTCAGTGAATAGTTGTTTGTCTATATAGACTTGCAACCTGTCCAGGGTGTCCCCTCTCTCTCGTACAGTGATGGCTGGACATGTGCACCAGTGATCCCCGTGACCTGAAAAGGAAGAAGTGGGATAATGGATGGATGGAGTCACAGAGTATAAAAATAAAAATTTTGCTGAAAAAGGGAGATTAATTAATTTATTGTAAATATGGGGCAACTGAGTTTTAAAGAAACCAATCTTTAAGCTCTTAATTATCTCACTATGTAAAAGTGATACTACATTTCTGTACTTCCAAGTAATAAAAAAAATCTGGCATGTTTTCAGGTAGTTCTAAAATCAGCCAATCAGCATGGATCTGTTGCGCATGCGCCCTGTCGGACAGTTCTGGTAAAACGGATAACAAAAATAACAAACGCGTCAACATGAGGCTGATCTGCAAGAGAGCCCGTAAATACTTTGAGCCTAAAATGTAAGAGCAGTCACCCAGACTCACTTTCTGTACCATAATTTGGCCATTTGGCTCTTTGCGCATGCGCACTTTGGGGTCAAGTTCAGCGTCAACCATTAACGGGTAAAATTAAGTCAATCTCTAAAAATATATATTTTTAAACAATTCAGTCGTAAGGGTTTGATGATGTGTGGGAAATATGACATATTAAACTCTACTGTTTACAAATAATTTGAGCAGGGGAAGAAAATAAGGCCACACATTTAGTAAAATAACACTTTAATTGGGTGCTAATAAGATGATGAGATTCTTTAGAAAAAGACAAACCAAACCGGAAATGGAGCTCAAGCTAATTTCTTTAGAAATTTAGGATATTTATATTTGCAATTTCAAGTTTTAACAGAAACTAGATAATTTTAAATTTAGTTTGGAAGGTAACCATTCTGTTCAGTGAAACACACACATCAGGACAATGCTGATTAAATGTTGATTAAATTATTTGAATCAGGTGTGCAAGAGCAAAGATAAATCAAAATTGGAATATTTTAAAAAAAACAAACAACAATAAGGTATAATACATGAGTTAGTTTTATATCCAACCTTTTAATTGACAGTCCGTGGACAGTTGAAGGCTCAGAAATGACTGAATTCATGGTGTTGGCCACAAGAACAGGCACTAATCCTGAGGAATACTTTGTTGACTTTGTGTTTTATTTTCTGTGCTCTGGGTCTGGGGTTGTAATTAACAGGAGCAACATGGCACGTCTACAAAAAGCCTTTCCATTCAAAGTGCTGCTCCTCTCCTAGTGGGATTTGGACCTGCAGTTTGTCCAAAATGTAGCCACATTTGTCAAATAGCTTGTCTGTCCTTAGCAACCTTAAGTCAGCCATATAAATATTGTAGCACTAAAGAAAGTTTAAATATTGGAAACTATTCATTTTATGAATGATTTTATTCCTTTCTGCTGGGACTGATTTTAACTTTGAGCTCATCTCTTGATTACATGCGAATTAATTTTGAGCAGAGGTAGTTTGCACAGGCTTGAATAACATCTAGCACGCCAGCCAGCTGAATAATGCTGGTTTATGGATATCTCAAAAGCAACACAGCAATTTTTTTTCAGGAATAGACATTTTAAACTTCAGAAGGCTGAACAAATGTAACATAATTCAGTACTACGCCTATAAAAACTGTCATAAAAAAGTAATTGCCTTTAGCAATGATTCTTTCCAAACAATGCATACCAGAGCATTAAAATTTGATTTATAGTTATTTATTGCCTCTTAGCTTTTTTACATTTGATTCTAATCCTTGACGGCAATCAAACTGGAAGAATTAGTCACTTAGATTTATTTTTATTTTTTAAACGCATATTTTTATTTGATACATTAAAATGAAAAATAAACCAATGGTGTCGGGAGGGTTTCTGCTGAGGAAATGTTTGCAGCCTGTGGTGCAGCCTTTAATTCTGTCTAGCTGTGATTAAAGACCTGCTGAAGTAGCTGCTAGGTGGCCATTGAGCAGATGGGTTAAATAATAATGTAGTCGAGTCAGGAGAGGCAGATCAGGGGGTTCATTAGAAGTGTTTTCTGTGGGTGGGGGTAAATTTCTTGTGCTGTTGAGTTTTGAGATGTTAATAATATGGATGAAGATGCTGTAACAATCAGGGGGTAGAGCTGGTGGTGCAAGTTGAAACACGAACGAGGAAACAAAAGGAGCAGAAAGCGACGATGGCGTTATGGGAGGAAATGGAGTGCAGAAGAAAAGGTTGTCACACTTTTTATTTTTATTGCTACGCTCATAATATTAATCATTCCTGCTGTCGTTATCTGAACCATTAACTTCCAAGTTGAAGTTAATTATTTTAAATCAGATTTTAAATAACTTTTCTGTGTTATATTTGAACATTTTGCGTTGTTGAGTGAATAACGCAGAGTTTAATAGTAAATAATTGGCTTCAGTTTCAAATTGGTACTAAAATCAAAAGAAGCAGATAAGCACTTTAATTAAAATGAAGAGATAAAACGGGGCTCCCATAAAGACCCAGGGTCCCCCTTGAGACATGAAGACTTTAGATAAGATCTGAGCCAACTGTGACAAAAATATATAAAAATGAACAGAATGTGTTGTGATAATTGACTGTTGGAGAGTAGTCTTCATATTTGTCACTCCTATAAAGGTTGTCAATTAAAGATGCAAAATACTAATGCTTGCTTTGTGTAATTGCTTTTTAAATTATTCCTGCTATCTCCAATCTGTCAAAGTATATTTGTTGCTTTAAGTGCATTTTGCACAGTTTAACATCACTGTTCTGCACAGCACTGATGACCTATAATGCTATAAATCCTGAAGCAGCAGCTGCACTAACATGCTGTTTAAGATACTCCCCTTCTTGTAGCAGTATATATAGTGTACTACTAATTAAAGGTGAACACACTTTAAGTCTGCTCCATTCAAATTTTGTGATTGTGCTGATGTATCTGCAGGTTGTGCTGCTAGTACAATGCTGTTTTATTAGCAACGTTTCTTTTGTTTGGCAGTCGTGACATCCACCGCTCCTTTCCAACTAATCATAAACCAAAACTTGAACAACTCCATCTTTTGAAAATGTTTTAGCAAGAATCCAACAAAATGAAGTCAGGCCCTCTGGGCGGTATCTTTGTGTTGAAACGTTTCGTATTTCATCCAAAACACTTCATCAGTCAGAGGAGCTGCAACAAATTCAATCTTATAAATAGCACCTTCCCATAGTGGGTCAACCAGTTTGCTGGTGATGAGTGGTTTCTGTAGTCCGCCCTCTCCCCTGCCGACTCGTTTGAGGTTGACTGATCAAGTCTTTTGGATGAAAGATGAAACGTTTCAACAGAAAGAAACCATCCAGAGGACCTGACTTAACTGTGTTGGATTTTTTACCTGAGCATGAATGAGGATGATTTGACAGGAGCTTTTTTTTCTCACATACCGTCAGTTGCTCACTTTAGTAGTTGTTGATATAAATTTAGATTTCTTTAATTGTCGGACTGTCACCTCAAACACAATTTTAGAAACACTTTCCTCTGCAAGTTCAAATATGTTCAATGTTTTAGCTTCTGCAGCTCAAAGTTAATCGTTACGAAGCAGCTTGGGTGCACTTTGTCTTCAAATGATTTGCAGTCATTTTTCAGAACTGTACTGTGTACAACTATTCAAGATTCAAGGATTTTTATTGTCATTCACATCACATGTGGTACATGAGGTGGAACGAAACTATGTACACTATGCAGATGTGGCCATTCAATCTTTTCTTTGCTAAATAAAATGCTCATTGCTGAATAATTCATATTTTAAATTTGATGCTGTTTTACTTGATACTTTTCTCTGGCTGACTTCTCCCTGCACCTTTTCTCATCCTCCCCTCCCTTTTTGTCCTCTCTCCCTCCCCTCTCCCTTCACTTCCCTCCCACTTCTCTCTCTCTCTCTCTAAAGAGCACTCTGTGTCCATGCTTCCCTTCATTTTCCAGCCCAACATGTTGGCAGGGAGAGGGAAGAAAGGATGCTGCGCTCGACTCTTGGTGCGTTCCTGCCACCTCTCCAGCCAGCGCACGCTGCCTCTGACTCAGCCTCGGCTCTCGGCTGTCTCCGGCTGAAGGACTTGAGACAGGAGGCAGAGGAGGAACCAAAGAGCAAACTGGAGCTCAGGAGTTCTCAGTCCAGGGTCCCCAACAGGAACAACAGCACAAGAACAGAACAGAACAACAAATGCTCTCCTTCTTTGGTGGAAACAACTAATACCTCAGCAGTGACCACCTCCTCCTCTTCTGGTTTCCCTCCCTCCTTTTCATCCCTCTCGGCTCCAAGATCTATGTGGCAAGAGGCAATGAGGAGAAAGTGGTACCTTCTTGACGGAAAAGTGGACAAAGGAGGAGGTGAAGAGAAGAGGAAGAACTCCCCAGACTGGCTCTATGAATCCTACTACTGTATGAGCCAGCAGCATCCTCTCATTGTGTTTTTGCTCCTCATAGTGATGGGAGCCTGCCTGGCTCTGCTGACTGTGTTCTTTGCTTCAGGGCTGGTAAGCCATTTACAACACGCACCAACTACATGCACTAATGCAAATTATAATTTGACGAATGAACAAAAATCCGGCTTTATATTTCAGCATAATATCTTACAAATCCCAGTTAATGAGATATTACTTTAAAATATGTAGGAAATCATTTGGGATGTAAGCTCTTTAGTGTGTAGACAGCTGTGGAAATGTGCACACATGCTCTAAACGCAAGCGCATAAACCTTGTCACAAAGTGACTCAAATATAATCATGCACACATGGTTGTGCAATATCGATATGCATCCATGTGTAGTCTCAGCCTGAAGGGAGAGGATCAACTGATTGTTCATCTGCAGCGAAGAGCCTGTTTTTATTTCTCACTATCTAGACAAGATTACAGTGTGCTTGTTTGAAAACTGCAAAATGCAGAGCAAGGCACTCTGCAAATTTATTTAAAATTAAAGTATGTGTTAATTTTCTGGTTTGCTTTAAAATATGAATGACTAATTTAAATAGTGTTTTTAAAAAACTCTACTTTCTAATACAACTTTATTACAGCCAACGTTGTTACTTAAGCAAAGTATTCTTTATGTTCTTTGATGGAGTGTGGTAATACATAAGAATGAATCCAGAAAACAGTTTGAAAGTAAAACACGGAGCATGCTGACACACCACAGCAGAGAGGCAATGTACTTCTGGAGACACAAAAAACTATCAATGTATAAAAGCACTCTGCTTTTTTTATTTCTGCCACTCACAAGTGGGTTCAGACAGAACTGGATCGACCAGTCTTTCTAAGCAGTGCAGTCCTGCTTTTGATTAAATTAAGAAACATTTTAAATGTTTTTAAAGTTCTAAATCAAAAAAAACTTGAAACCATCTATTATTTTTATTATTGTGACTTTTCTCTACAACCTAAACATTGTTTTTTTAAATAATTTAGTGTAGACTGAAGTTTAGAAGTTGCAACACTGATGTCAAGTTAAAAGGCTGAATGCTATACGACCATACATAATTAAACTGGTTCAGAATAAATTATTTTTCTACATAAAATGCAAAACATTTCTTGTTTTTGCATTTCTGCTCCTTGGTGGTTTTTTTTTCCCATCATCCTCTAATTCTTTTCATTCTTCATTTTTTTCCCTGTAGCTTTCATTTTCCTCCCCTCATCCCTCCATCCTTCTGGATGGCTGACCTAAATCCTTTGCTGTGTTGAAGGTCTGCTCTGGGCAAGACAAACTCTGGCTGTCTGCAGTCACAAACATCCTCCCATGTCCCAACGCATCGACCGTATGTGGGGAAAAGACAGAGGAGGTCAGAGCAGGGGCTGCAGAATCAAAATAAAGTGCACGAGTGCAAGAAGTGATGTTCCTCTTTCAGAAGAACAGATTATAATGTGTTGCTCCTGTAAATGGGAACGGTGCTTTTACCATTTAGTCTTTGCATTTTATTAAAATGACAATCTGTATATTCATTTTTAATTATGATTGGTCTGCTGGGATAAAAACAATGACTAAACTGTGAAGCCTTCAGAGCAAAAGTAAACAATTTGCTTACATTAATTTTAAACAAAATCAAACATTTGAATCTGCATCTACCCAATATTTGCAGCTAATAATAAATTTCTGTGAAAAATTTCTATGGCTGCAAAGATCTGAGACATCTGCTTTTATTACCCTGTCCTGACTGTTTTTCATCCTCGGTTGCACCAGTCTGATGAAATGAAATCTAATAAAAGCAGACAGAGCATGCATCCCATCTTCCTGTACCGTTCTCAGCTGTTTAACTTGATCAAACTCCTGCTCTTCATGTCTACGTGTGTACCAGAAAAGTAGTTGGACATCTATCACGAAGTCTTTTTAACCTTCACTAAGGGTTCACCAGTGAGAGCTCTTCAAAATGTGCTTCTTTCTGTGATGTGGGATTAGATTAGGATCAAGTAATGGAAGAATATATTAGTAAAAGAAGAAGAATAGAAGAAAAAAATGTCAACTTTTTTTACGTTTTCTGCTTTATTGCCCCCGATCGTGGAGCGAAAAGCTTAAATGGAAATACCCACCATGTGTTTGTGCATGTTTGAGCATGAGAACTTGAAAAATAAGCGATGGACCAACTTCCTTTTTGGTGTATGGCTGCATATAGGTACAAGAAAGGTTCCTATCAAAAATTGGGTTGCCAAGTCAAAATACAAGATGGCTACCACTATATGTACCGATATGTAAATCAAACACCCCAAGTATTTGAAGAAACTACGCTTCTAGTTTTTATGTTGCTTAAAAGAATAGTGTGCTATACTGGATAAAATGTCTCCCTCCACTCACTAGGATCCATCACTCTGCGTCGCCTCGGACAAGAAAAAAAAAAGACCCATCCTCTGTTGTTCTCCACTGTGTAACTCATACCCACTCAAATATCTTGTACCAAAAATATTAAGGTTTACTTAAATTCCCTATTCAGTTCCAGTCCAGAAAAAAAAAAAAATCTTAAACTACAAACATTCACTATTCAACTCACTCAGCAACGAGGGACATCGGGGTACTGCTGGATTATATTTGAATCAGTTTCTTCAAAATTTTCTTGAATTGTTTGAAAACACCTTTTGATTCCAAATAGTATATTCAAGTGTTTTCCCCTTAAAAAAAAAAAATCTTTATTTTTTTCAATTTCAGAACATTGCAGACCACGTGGCCTTCATCATCACTGTGCCCACAGCACTGGCTATATTCCTGGCTGTGTTTGTTCTTGTCTGCGTCGAGTCCATCTTCAAGAAGCTTTTGCGTGTTTTCTCCTTGGTCATCTGGGCCTGCTTGGTTGCGATGGGCTACCTTTTTATGTTTACTGGAGGTATCGTCTCTCCTTGGGATCAGGTAAGGTCTTACGTGAGATTATGCGGTCAATTTGTGGTACGTGCTATGGTTCATTACGTGCACGTCTTATTTGAAGCTTTATGGAAAAACTGGTGGCTTTCCGTCTTTTCCCTGCACTTCAGTCTTTGAGTTTTCTGACGCTACCTCAGGGTCCAAAAAGATGTTTGTTCTCTCCAACCGACAGAAGAGATCTAGACCAAAGTGGTTTGCTGAACAACTCGAATCTTAGAAAATGTTTTTATTGGTTCATTGAAACATTATGGTATTTGGGAAAGCTTTGCATTTCTGTCAGTTTCTTATTTACACAAAACTCTGGGTATTTGCCGGGTGGCACTTTCTGTCCAAGTAATATGATACTCCTGCCAGAAAAAACTCTAATTTCAAATTGACAGTGGTAGAAAGCTTTATAATGCAATTTATATTAATTACTATTAAACATTTAAGAGTGGAGCTCTTTCATGTCGGCAGCAGCCCACTTTAGACTCTGGAGTCCACTTTAAGGACTGTACAACACAAACTTTGATTTGTGGTGTGATGACGATATACGTTGGGTTTATTCTAATGAATTATTAAGATAAGTATCTGATTCAAAGCTCTTTGTGGTGTTTAGCTTCAACAAAGTAGTTTTTGTGGTGCTGTGATTAACATTGACAAAGGCTGTACAACACAAGTGCTGCAAAATATAACATTATTATTTTATGAAAAATTGATTATTAGGGTCATTTTTGGTCGGGGGCAAAAAATAAAAAAAACATTAGCAATGTAGTCCTTGAAGATGTGTGAAACACTTGTAAAGCAATACAGAATTCTTTGCATCTAATGAAATGTTTTAGGCCAATACCTTACATATTCAGTTTCAATATGCATAGAAATCAAGTGTATTTGGAAATAGATTGGCTGTTACTTTTGCTGAAACTCTTGTGGAGCACCAGTGTTACGAATATGTTGCACATTATACACAGAATGTAAAATATACTGAACCCTGTCATGACATTGTGGTGAGGAAATGCCAGCTATTTTTGAAGACTGCAGAGTTTTCTTTTCCATATTAATGACGTATTTTAATATTCCTTACATTAGAATTGTACTATACAGTGTATAAGTGCAATGTGTCCTGTTTCCTAACATTACATCTTGACTTGACTGGAGTTAAATGTATTAAGGTGTATAATTGGTAGTTTCTAGCATCCTTCACTAAGCTCTTTGAAAATACCATGGTGTATAAGCTCTTCATCGTTTGAAAGCTGCACTCATTCAGCAGTACTTAGTAATACAGGTGTCCAGTGTGGACTCATTGGTCACAAAGGAGGTAGCTGAAGATGCACTGATTCACACGCCTCACCATTCATTACTTCCTGTGCTTACTGCAAATGTTGGGTCATTATGCCACTGTTGTTTTTTACTGCAGCATCTTAACCACATTAATTAACACTTTCTCAATAGACATTATTTTTTACAGGTGCTGCAGTTTGTGTCATTTTGAAGGGGTTGCCATTTTGTTGGTTGAGGGAAGCAATTCATTATAACCCTTTTACGTTAGTCCATCTTAGTACTCAGTGTTCGTTATTTTAATTCTCTATAGATGAAAATGAAAAACTTTCTTCATGTATTGGTAAAAAAAAGTGAGTCACTCTGTTTATCCCTTTATGCAGTCGGTGATGAAAAATCTTTGAATAATACATATGTGCTCTTTGCCAATAACCCAGGCTACCTTTTAGGCCTCCCTTAAGACATACTAGTCAACATAAGAAAGTCAGTAAATGTTTTACTGAAAAACAGAGTCAGCTTAAATATTTGAAATCCTTTGTTGCAGATAATCTTATATAGACATAAACCTAAGAAGGGTTAGACAATTATAAATTTGGAACTACAGAGACATGAAAAATGTCTGTGGAGACTCTTTTTACATACATATGTGTGGCACTGATTAGTTTTAACCATGGACCACAGAAATGTGAGTTTGGACTTGTATATTTCTGACTTCAATGACTTACATGGTGTACCTGAGCTGTGATGTTGTGCACGCTCCTTCAGGCTGATTTAGTGCCAGATTTTCCCATGAGCAGGCATCTTTAGTTGGTGGTTTTGGCTTTTCAAAGGATATGTTTGGCTAATATGCAGTTTGTGATTTTACTCCCTTTAAGCAGTGCATATCAATCAACTTAAATAGTAACAATTTCAAAAACTGCTTGGCTGAGAATTTCCTCTGAAAAGAACAAACTTGAGTTAACTCTTACAAATGACTTGCTGTCGCAGTGCATGATGCTCATAAATTGAAACAGAGAAAATATGGACTTGGGTATCCTTTTTTTATTTAATTTCAGTTTACATATACCTTTTATTGATCAGTTCACATAATCACACAGTGTTCACATTTCAAAACTTCCAGGTCAGTCGAAAAAGGTAATTTTTAAATGGAGTGAAGTATATAGATCGCCTACAGAGTTGCTGTTGCAGCAATCTTATAAAACAATTATCCCCAACCTATTACTCTGAGATCTCTAACTTTTTGCACCCACAAACAGCCTCCTGTTGGTGTGAGCATGCACATTCTTGAATTTTCTGGGAAATATTGCACATCGATATTTCATTCTCACAATGTAAAATACCGAAAACTAATTAATACATACTTTTGTACATAAAAGTCAATAAAAAAGCAAGTGTAAATGTCCAAAAGACTAGATTTAAATGCCAACCTTTAATACTGGAAAAACCTATGAATCTGTTTGTGCCGAGGGACTGGATCTTTGGGATGAATCAGTCTTTGCCGTAATGTATTTGGGGTTTAAAAGCCACTGGGACGTCATCTTTAGAAAATAAACGTCTCAGTATCTCTGAAACTCCCGCAACATAAGGAATTTTTTTCATTCAACCTTTATTTATACAGGCTAGCCTCATTGAGCCACGAGGACTCATTTACAAGAAGGACCTGTACAATGACCACTGGTCTGGGTCTGTGTTCCTCATTTTCACTGGATTGCTGACTGGAGTCCTGTTTGGGTTTCTACTCTGCTTGAAGGCCCAGTTAGGATATCCACCTCTAGAGCCTGTCTTGTGCAGGATTTTTCCTTCTGCCTGGCTCCTGAGTTTGTCGGGACACTGTCTGTTCTGTGGTACAGAGTTCTGATGACTCCAAACTAGTGATTTAGTGCGAGATGGGAGTCAAACCACAAGTATTGATCTTTGTGGCTGGGTTTGCGGTAAACATCAGTTTGCAAATGTCCTCAATCAGAGACTGAGACCTCACAGTCCAAGAAAGCCCACCTGCCATTTTTTTTTTACATCTTCTCATGAGAACTTGATGTATTTATCCACAGAGTTGATGTGGTCAGTAAAATGGTGGACTTCCTGAGATTTACCCAGGTGTCATCAACATACCTGAACCAATGACTTGGTGGTGTCCCTGAAAAGGACGTCAAGGCTCTTTTTCTACCTCCTCCATGTACAGGTTGAGAAACTGGGGGTCCCATAGCAACCCATAGTTTTGCCTATAATCTTGGCCCCCATATGTGAAGTAGGTTGACTGCAGGCACAGTTTCAAGAGTTGGCTCAGTTGTTCTGTGGAAAGTGTGGTATTGCTGCCAAGCGTGGTGTCTGATTTGAACCTTAAATCGACCACCTCTACTGCCTCATCAACAGGAATGCACGTAAAGAGTAGCCATTTATACACGGACATAAGTAATCTGATCAAACAGCCGTTCAGAATAAAAACGCGTCATGTAAACACCCCATACGAGTTGTTTTTTGTTATTCAGCGTGATCCGAAATGATTTGTGATCAGAACAAAATGATTGGTTTACGCCGATTCATAACCCGAACGGTGAGCATGTAAACGCTTGATCTGTTCATTTTTTTCTAATCGTGAAAAACTGACCTGACTGCGCATGTGCGACCTTATGTCATTTCAGCCTGGTTAATGCTAATAATATTAGCATGTCGGGGAAGCAAAACTGGTCGATGAGCGTCAACATTTCTACTAATTCAAAAAGCGTTCAATACAAAAACAACTGGACTTTATTTGTATTATTTTTATTGCTCCTCGGATGAGGAGCGAAACGTCTTCTGTTACAAATAAAGTCCAGTTGTTTTTGTATTGAACGCTTTTTGAATTTATCATGTCCTGGATGACTGAGAATCTTCACCAGAACATTTCTACTAGAAACTTTGAAAGAGCTCAAAATGATCTGTAGTACCTGTAGCTCAGTCAGGGAGTGCGGTAACGTCTCCACCGTCATTAAAACCTGGCGCAGGTCCATTTTGGGTGCTCAGGTTTGTTTACGTTCATCCTGGAAGTAAACTGGAAGTAGAACTTCTTATTCTGTGTTTTTTTAAGGAGAGTTTACCACTCTGCATGTCAGTACTGCTGTTCAGAACAAAGCCCGCTGCATGTAAACACTCGTCATGAACAGATTGTGCCCATTTAAACAATACATTTGAATTATTTAATCTGAAAATATTTCAATCCGGTCAAAAAAATGTGCACATGTAAACATAGCTAGTGATGTGACATCAAAAGAGACCATTGTTTCATCAGCCTCCATGATGACATCCCTCACCTTATCCACAAAGTCCATGGTGTTCTGTATGTGGTGTTCTGAGCTGCCAACTAAAGGGATGAGTACAGACGCCAGATATTTGGAAACATTGTTTGTGATACTTAATCATGCTAAGATGAAACATTTCAACAAAGAAGAATCCGTCCAGAGGACCTGACTCAACCTTGTTATATCCACCTAATGTCTCCTCACAATCACTTCTCCTAATGTTAGTTTGTATTTCCCACTTTAAAACCCAAAATCAGATGGACCTTTATCCTCTCCATGAAGCTCAATCTAGTTTCTAAATGTGAGCAGAAGAGCATATCTGTGTAGTCCAGCCTCTTTCCCTCACTGACGTCGGTTCTCTTCCTCCTCCTCCTCCTCCCTGAGCCGTCTCTCAGAGGCAAGTGCCAGATGCACATCAGCTTGGTATTGAGCCAATCTCATTAAGGGAGTGGAGTTTTAGTCAAGGAAAGTCCATGTCAGAGTCAAACTGTGAAGAAATGGGTATGTAGCAGCAGGGCAGGGACTTCTGGTGATGAAGAAGGTAAAAGGTTTAATACAGGATTTGATGTAAGGAAAAACTTCTTATTTTGCTTAATTTAATTAATGGATAGAAAATTACAAACCAAACATTTTGCAGATTTTACCATTTAAATTACATTTAATGACACATCTTCACTGTTTTAAATAAGTCTGCCTTTTTACCTTGACTTCGTGAGACCGTCTGTAAATAAAAAGAGCATCTGTCTCCTTTAAGTAGCAGACGGACACACACAGTTTGATCACACAGCTAACCACACACACATTTCACATTGTAAGTTTAACTTGAAAACTAATCACAGCTACAGACGGTGGACTAAAAGCCTGATGTAATGTGACACGTTGTCTCCATAATTAGTTTTATGGACCTTCCTCGGTGTCATTATCACAAAAATGAATTATGGGCAGGAGCAAAGTTGATTTTACAGGGATGGACCACAACAAAGGGTTTACCGAATTGCTGGAGAAGAAGATACTTATGGGTCTCTTACCTTTAATATCCATTATAACGGAAGCCAGTACTGTTGTGATTCTGTATTATGTAACATCTCCTGCCTTGAAACTTCTAAATTATCATCATCATTTTTTATGATTGAGTTAAAAGCATTGGATTTACAAAACTTAGTTTGGGCTTTAGGTAAATTATGTTCCTGGGTGAAGTGTTAATTTACAGCAATTATCGGCTCTAATCAGTTTGGATTCAAGTTAACACACTCCTTTTTTAATATAGGGATTAAAAAACTGTTTCCGGGGTATCTTGTATCCTAAATGTCTAAATAACAAGTTGCTCATAGAGTCCTATATTTTTCTACTAGTGTATTTTTTAGATGTTACATATTTTTGTCATATAATTTTATAGGTCACAATTGAGTTTATTTTGTTATTCTTGGTAGATTGTAGGACAGGAGAAGTTCAGTTATATGAATGTTGAGCTGGTGTCTGTCTCCAGAAGTCACTGTGCGAGAGGTGGGGGCACCTGCAGCTCTCCAGTCCATCATAGGGACACAACATATTTGCATTAAAAGGTCCGGCCCAGCCCTGGTCAGCCCAACCCAGGTCTTCCCCAGTTCAGCACCTCCATGTTTGTTTTTGCAGGCAGGCAGGATCATCATAGCAAGAAAAGCACCATTTTTTTTGTGTCATCAAACTATAGAAAGCATGGATCCCATGCTATTGTTCATCGTTCTTGAGAGGCAGACAGACAAACGGCACTTTACCCTCTCACTCACGTAGGAACAAGTTAGTTGCTAATTAACCTACCATGCTTGTTTTTGTTTTTGGATTGTGGGAAGAAAAACGCGCATGCACAGGGAGAACATGCAAACTCCACCCACAAAGGCCTTAGACCAGAAGGTGATCCGGCAACCTTCTCGGTGTGAGACAACGGCTTTAACCACTGCTTCGCCGTGGCAAAGAGTCATAATATTATATGAATAAATAACGTGCATCCAGCAAAAGGTCCGTCAGGTAGTGACAAAGTTCAGTTTATACTCCAATCAAAGGCAGGTTGCAGTGTTGTATGGACTTTTGCCATTGTCAACATTGTTCTTTAACAATCCTGCAGTTTACTTTGTTCAAAACAACCTATGCGGACTTGCAGAAAAACATGAAGTAAGCATGACTTTTAACCATTGCACTTACACATTATGGTGTAATTAAAAAGCACCTATTTTGTCTGTAAGTGCCTCTGTAATAGTAACACTGTTGTTCTTGTTTTAGGTGAGAGCCAAACGTGCCTGTTCGGTTACACTGTATGAGATTTCCTCCGGGCTCTGGTGTCCAAACCACAGTGCTCCTAAAGGGATCAGAAATTTGCTCCTGTCTGTGTTAGTAATGTTGCTGTGTTGGTCTGGAAATTTCTACCATTGATTTGTAAATGCATACTTGCACTTTTTTAAAGATGTGAGTTTTTCATGTTCAGAATAGTTATTTAAGAATAACTAATTGCTTTTAGATATAAAAAATACAAACAAATGTTAAATCATCCTAAGTGGACTTGCTTCATGATTGTACTTGAATATAATAACCACAAACTGGACAATAGAGAACATCCTCATGTTTGGAGTAAATGTATAAATATGCAAAAAATGTTGGGGGCTCATCCTTTAAACGACGACGGCAGCTGACTGGCTGGCTCCAAGACCGCAATAATAACTAAAAAAATACAGATACTGATTTTGATCTGTATCAAAATCAGTATTTATTCACTTCTAAGTGGGTCATCCCTCATTTCTGATAAATATTTCATTCAGATCTGTTCATTTCATTTTGACTTACCCTACAGACTAACGGATCAAAGCCAGCTCAGCCACTTATTGTCTCCGTTTACTGGACTGTTTTTAGTAATGGCTTCAACTCTGTTTGTTTTTACTGATGCCTGTTACTTTAAAGTAGCTGCATTCAGTTATTTTTCTTGAAGTCATCCTCTCCAGAGGAAGCTTTCACTTACTTTAAAGATGCTTAATATTCCGGCATGATTGTCTGTATTTTCATGCATGCATTGTCTTCAGGGGGTCAGACAGTATTTCGTGTGCTGCAATTTGCATTAACATCCCTAATTGCTGCAAAATGAAGTGGCTGTGTTTATATTTAACACCTTTGCATGAACAGACAAATTATTGTTTGTTACTTTCCCTCTCTTCCTTCCTTCCCTCTCTCCATCTCACTGCCATCACTCTGTATCCCAGCTTTCCCACTAGCCTGGAAACCAAACAGTGAAAGGGTTTCTGTCAGGTGGCTGTAGCCTACAAGAGCCTCTTTCTATTCATTCACGGCAGCAGATGAACGACTTTAACCCTGCAGCAGGAGGTGAACTGAGAGCAGTTTGTGTAGGGATGGGATCAAATAAAAACACACCGTGTTTCATTAAATGTGTAGATTTGAAATGGAGCAGCTGAAGGTCTGGTTTTTTTATTTTTATTTTTGCACTCGAGAGAATTTAGGCAAGCTGATGATATTGATAGTGGATTGATCATTTAGTACTTGGGACTGAAATACTGAAATCTGAAATAAATGTTGCTGTTTTTCTTGCTTACACAATTGCATTTTGAAACTAGAGAAATTGCATTTCCTGCAAAAATACAGTTTGAAGGCTTATTGCTGAAGAACTTGCAGAAAATCAGCTGAAACTAGCTAAAAAAAACCATGCTGAATTTTAGCTGCAAAGGAAGGACGAGCCTAAATTAGCAGAAGAAAGCAGAAAGAACACATATTTGTTGAATTAGGTTTAAATAAGCAGAAATGAACATAAAAATTATAAAATTAGCTTAAAACGAAGAAACTGAAATTAGCAACACAAAATAGCTGAAAAGTAGCTGAAAAGGCAGAAAGAAGCCTAAAGTAACAGAAGGAAGTGGAAGGATCTGGTATGAGCTCCAAAATGTGGAACTAGCTGAAAAAGCTAAATTTAACACACACACACAAATCAGCAAAAAAGTTTCTGGATTAGAAAATGCTGATCAGATTAAAGCTGAAAGGAGTATAACAAACTGCAAACAAACACAATTCTTGAAAATTAGCAGAAAGTAGTTAATTAGGCTGAAAGTAGCAGAAATTACCACAAAAGCTTGAATTTATCTGAAAACGACTGAAATTAGCTTAAAAAATTTTTAAAGGTAGCTGAAAAGGTAGAACAAGGTTAAATTAGCAGAAGAAAGCAGAAATAACACACTTGCCAATTTGCCTGAAAGAAGCAGGACAAAAAAGTGGATATATCTGAAAAAAGCTGAAATTAACAAAAACAGCTGAAAAAATAGCTGAAAGTAGCTGAAAAAAGTTTAAATTTGCACAAGGAAGAAGAAAGAAGTTGAACCAGAACAAGATGTGAAAGGAGCAGTAAAAGGTTGTAAACAGACCAACATTTTTCCGTCAGATCTTCTGGACAGTTTCTTTTTTTGTGCTGAAACGTGCTGATGAAGCCTTCCGGATCGAAGGCGAAACGTTTCAGCACAAAAAAGAAACTGTCCAGATGACCTGACTGAAAAATGTTGGATTGTATACCTGGATTATTGAGCATGGACTTTGTTGTTGTAAACAGACCTAAACTTTTGAAGGATGTAAAATGAGCTCAATTCATTTTCTATGAAAAAAATGGCAGAAAAGACTAAATATGTCAAAAAGCTAAAGCTGCACCAATACCAAAAGCCATAGCAGGATTGTCCTGAAAGAGCTGAACATTTTGATTCATGATTTATTGAAATAACTTGAAAACTGTGGGACGAGAATCATGCTGAAAAATGTATGAAAGAAAAATGGATAACAATAGTGTGAATGCTTCATAAACATTCACACTGTTGTGTACCTCTCTAGTGCTTCTATGTTTGTCAGGCACATATTATGGAATAGGCTCTGTGTGTATGTCCATAAATGTTCTTTTTTTTCTTGCCCAAAACTTCTGATCTGCTCAAGATAATTGAACGAAACCTGAGACACGTACACATCATCACTAGACAGAGTGTCATAAACATTTTTCTTCACCTTAGCTCTAACATCAAGGTCACATATCAAGTTCAAAAGTTATCAAAGGTCTTTGCTTGTCCAGGCCATTGCTATAGATTGTTATATCGCTATATAATAGTTATAATGTGTCGTATGCTGTACTCGTTCTCTTTTTCATGCATTTATTTTTTCAAGCCTACTTTTTCCTCAGCTGTCACTTTTCTTTTTTTAAAGTATGTCTCTTTCTCTCAACAGGTTTCTTTCTTCCTGTTTATTGTGTTCGTTGTTTACACCATGTTGCCGTTCTCCATGCGTGAAGCCATCATTGCCAGCGTTCTGACTTCTGCGTCTCACACCGTTGTGTTGAGTGTCTGCTTGTCCACAGCAGCTGATCACCTGGAGGCAGTCGTGTGGCAGGTAAGGTGTCCGAGCTGAAGGTGTTCACAGCAGACGGCACATTACAGATGAGAAAATAAAACAACTTGTGATTTAAAAAAAAGAAACACCTTTTTGTCCATTTTTATAAAACTTATTGATATTGTTAGGATTAATAATAATAATGATGATAATAATAATAATATTGGCTATTGTAGTGCTGAATTATTAAATCAATATAGAAATACGACATTCATTATTGTGTGAATGCTTATAAGCATTCACACTATTGAGATCCTGTTCAAGTGTCTTGGGTATGTTTTTAATAATGAGGACAAAGGTCAGGGTCAAAGGTCACCACTTTAAATCAAAATTTAATCAATTAAAATTATGTCATTTGATTACCGTTTATCATAAAAATGTCAACTTTCTTAGCTGGATGCCTCATGGGTCAACAACGATCTCTATTGATTTCAGGTTCACGGGGTCAAAGGTCACCCCTTTAAATAGCTCTAAATTGATAACTTTCCCTTTGATGTGTCAAACTTATGCCATGTCTCGCTATGTCTGCATCCAAGCTAGTATTTCCTTTTCTCAATTTTGCTAGGTTCTTGCTACTTCTGGCTCTAAGCTAGTATATTCTTGCATGTTGCTAGGATTTTGCTACTTTTGGCTTTTAGCTAGCTTTTTTTGGCATTTTGTTAGCTTTATGTTATGGCTGTCTCTTTGTTAGCTTTATGTTATGGCTGTCTCTAAGCTAGCTTTTTCTTCCTTTTTGCTAGTGCTTTGCTACGTTTGGCTCTCAGCTAGCATTTTTCTGCTTTTGCTAGCATTTCGATACTTGTGCCTCTGCACCTGCTTATTCTGATCTCTGCTCTGTACGGAGATCAGCTGATAAGCTGCAGGAGGAAGTTTCTCTCACAGCTGCGGGCTGCACACATGTGCTAAATCATTTAAAATAATTTATTTTAAATAAAAAATCCATGCCGATTGTGCAGCTCATCCATCAATCAGTCATTGTGTGTCATGTCCAATCTTACTTTGAAAAAATGCGATAGAGCGAGTCCACGAAAAATGAACAACAAAGTAGCGAGGCACTACTGTACATTATTTTTTTATACATTTTTAACTGTTCAAATTCAACAAGCAGTGATGGCACAGCAATGAACAAATCATAGATTCAGCAGCTTTCAGCAAAATTATTCTGCAATAATTCACAGGAAGTGCAAATCTTTCTAGTTTGTCTAAAGCAGTTTCCTTTCATTTTAATTCTACAGTTAGTTTTAAAGATGATATTTGCTCAGTAAAATGCAAATTTAGAATTCGTAAAAAGTTGGAAATTCTGTGATTTAAAAAAAAAAAGTCTTTATTTAATTTACTTTATTTGTTTTAGGTTTTTCAAAGGTCTCTATCTTGCATTAATTCTATGTACAAAATACTGAAGCAGTTTATTTTACTGAGAAATGAACTATTTGTCTATACTATAAATGTAAACAGTTTAAGTGTGATCACATTCATTGAAAAATGTTTTACTTGTTTGTGTGAACAACCTTGGTATTCAGGCATGTCATAAAAGCTGCCCTTCACTAATAAACGTCAAGCCATATCTGACCCACTGAAGCACTTCAGACTATGTCTTTGATCTTTATTGAAATCCACCAACAAAAAACAAGTTTTTCTAATTTTCATAGAATCTTGATCACCCTCCACCATGGAAGGTGGGCAAGATGCAATTTTGTTTTTGTATTTCAAATTCAATTCAAATTCAAAAATACTTTATTAATCCCCGAGGGAAATTAAATGTTGTTG